AAAATCAAGTACGTCATTTACTGATCAGAAATTCACAATAATATGGACGAACAACATACATATGTAGTAATAGTTCTTCATATATTTCAATAAATAATATGCCGTCCTTTACAATGAGCCAGTTGCAACAATAGATTAGATGAACTTTTTAGCAAATTAAAATTTGGTCAGCATAAACTTTCCGAATCCTTTATAATTTATCTCTATCAGTACTATCATGAAGGTATCTTAAATATGTTGTCTATATCGGAAATTGAATTTGTTTATTAAAACAATGTAAATAGATAAATACTTTTTTAAATGATATCAAATTATATCGCCAAGCTTTGCCAACTGTATCCAGGTCCAGTCACCTTAACCCCCTACATTGATGGTTTTTTAATCTCTTGGGCGTCATCTTCCATTGTCGGTAATTATCTTTGATTTATGTGTGAAAATTATTTTATATGAAACTTTAAACTTTTTGGAGTGGGCATATCTATGTCGTTATGTATGTCGGTCCATTATAAAGGATTCTTATCTCAATTGTTTGAGTGTTTAATTTCAAATTTAAATAGAAATGTTAAAAAAAAAAATTGTTAAAGATGGGTTAGACATTCGTATTACTTTCAGAAAATATTGCTGGATTATCCTATAACTAATACATTAAAAAATTAAAATAACAGAAAAATTTTGCAACATCATTATTTACTTTTTTATATATTTAGAAATTACAGCCGCATACACCATAAAGGTTATTAGCGGCGGCTTTAAAATTACAAAATTAGAGTTAACAAAATATTCCTATAGATTTTAAGAAATTTACATATTTCACATGTAGGTGGATCACTTTTGGATAATAAATATGAATGAGTTAGTCTCGTGTGTCCAATTCGTAATCTTGTTATCACCAATTGTTCTCTTCTGTTCCTGGATAAAGGTTCCCAAGCTGTAATGCCGTTTTTAATTTGTTTCACTGATGTTTGAGAAGATTACCATTCGTTTTTCCACTTGCAAAAAAATCGATTCTTTATAAAAGCTTTTATATCACTCGCGGTATTTCCATACCCGGCTTTTTCTATATCGGCACATTTAGCAATTTCACTCGCGCGCTGGTCCGCACTTTCGTTGCCTGCAATGCCAATGTAAGATGGAATCCATATAAATTTGATACTCCTAGAAGTTTCTTGTTCCTGCATGAATATGAGAGTTAGGAATATTATTAGAATTTATATGCATGATAGCTTTAAGCATTGCATAGAGCTCAGCGGAGAAAATCTAAAAGAAGGTTGGAAGACGAAATTGATATGTATTGCTTGAGGTAACGAATGCAGCACTTACTCCTTTATCACACTATGATGTCCTTTATCACACTATTATAATTAATATTCGTAATGCTGACGGAGAATTATAGCTAGATTATTTTTAATCTCTGCGTGACAATTTTTATGTTTGTCAAATTGGGTTAGACCAGTATTTATATTTGGAGTATTAATTATCCAAGGTGAGGGGCCTTTAATATTAATTAGAAAAGCATTTGAGAATTCGATATTAAGACATCTCAGGTAACACCGTATTTGCTCATACTTAGGCTTATGTTTGGTACTATAGGTAAAGAGATTTATATATTTATTAGTGAACGTATTATTAAATAGAGGTTTGTTTACATTTGAGGCTATTGACGTTGCGTGTGATAGTGTTAAGGAAATTCGGCGGTGATATAATGAAGGCTTCCAACTTTCAGAATATTAGCTTTCTACCGGTGACGTTCGAAATGTGAGAAGAGAGAGTGCTGTGTTGTGGATAGAGTCTAGCTGTTTTAACAATGTGGGGGAAGCTGGGGCGTAAGCGATTGATCCACAATAATTTTTTGATCTAATTGGAGTTCTGTAGATTGTAAGTAAGGTAGAGAGATCAGAGCCTCAATATCTATTTGACAGTTTTCTCATTAGGTTAATTTTCTTATTCCAAGTCAAAACTAATTGTCTAATATGTTCTTTCCAAGTTGATTATCAAACTACATTCCTAAGAATTTTACACATGATTTGGAGGATAGCAATGTATTGAAAAACTTGAGATTGGGGTTATTTGAGAAGTTCGTTTTTGAGAATACCATACCTACGGTTTTCTTTTTTTTTAACCGAGGATTGAAAACCAGTATCGCGAGACTTTTCGAGTTTTTGTAAGAAACTTTGCAAAATTGAAGTTAAATAAATATCTTTGCCTTTTACATAAATCACCAAGTCATCTGCATATAAACGTACTTTTAAAAGTTTTTTGAGGTGTTTAATTATGTCATTAATAGCGATTAAGAAAAATGTAGGACTAATAATTGAGCCTTGAGGGATACCGTTTTCTTTCTCCTGCATTTCAGAATAGTAGTTGTTAACTGTTACGCAAAAAGATCTGTTTTCTAGAAAGTTCTTAGAAATAAAATGAAGGCAATTAAACCTTTCGGACTCGGATTAACTCGGTGTTAACAATTTCAAGTGGAGAAGTGACAATTTTATTACATATTTTGAGACTAGATACTGGGCATGACTACTTTACATCATAAATTTTACGTATTTTCTTCCATACTTCTCTTACAGGAGTGGAGCTGTTAATGCTAGAGACATATTGGGCCCAACTGGATTTTTTTTGTTTTTTTGATTTATTAAACGTTGAGCTCTAGCTTTCATTTTTTTGTAGTTAATTTTATTTTCTAGTGTTTTATGCTTCTTAAATAATATTAAAAGCTGTTCTGCTGGCACGTACTGCTTCGTTACACTCCGAATTCTACCAAGGCACAGGAACATGATTTTTAATTGGCTTTGTTTTGCCGATGAAGAGCTCCGCACTCTGCAAGATGACACTATTAAAAGTACCTAAAGACTCGTCTTTACTATTTCTTTTATAATAAAATATAACATAAAAATATAATACTGTTTTTTAATATTCTCAGAATTTATTATATTCTGTGACAATTAAGACATTGGCGTGTTTTTATGTTTCATTTTTTTGTCATTATTGAACATGAATTTCCGTCAACTAACATTCCATAAATATATTTGTTTTACACATTTTTTAAAGTTTTTTCTGGATATATAAATATTAAATTTAGATTAATTTGGATTGGCACATTGTCCTAAAAGTTTTGTTAAAGTTTTTAAAAGTTTCTAGGTAGTTCCGTTATCAAATTAAGAATTTGAAAACATGATTAGTGTTGTATTGTAATGAATATATTTTGCCTACCACATGGCGTATTAATATAAGGGGTAGAAAATTGGGGACAGAAAGAACTGGGGGTGGAGATAGGGTAAGCAAAATAATCTAAACATATGCGAACGGCACTCAGGGTTTGTTAGGAGAGCTGGGGTCGTGGATAAGTAAATGGCAAGGGGGTTGGATTGGGGCAACTACAAAAATTGAAAAAAGGGATACTTATATAAATCTCTTGGGACAAATAAAACAAAACACATGAAGGAAACATGAAACAGGAAACACCTCTAGTAATTTAAAAAGGACGCCACTTCGAGGTGCCTAATTATAACTATTACAACAGCAAGTTGTAATTAGGGAAATAATTATGAGAAATTCAAAATATATCTTTTTCAAATAAAACTCAAAAAAGGTTAGTCAAAAAACAAACAAAATGTTTAAAAAAATTTAAATCAATAGCCACAAAATACAAAAATGCAAAAAAAAACTTACGTTTACATACCGTTTACATACTTTAGGAGTTGGAGATACTACAAAAACTTACAAATGTTACCGCACAGAGGTTAACCTTTTTTTTAAAACAAAACAAAACAAATAAATATCGAAAATAATAAAGCGAGCTGTCCTATGTTAACACTAAATTTAAAACAGAAAAATTTAAAATGACAGCTATACTCAAAACCTAAAATTTTTAAATGATACAATTTTTAAATTTTAACGAAAGCAATAATTATTCTCAAAAACAATTGTCTGTCTTTTCTTTAAAATTTGAAACAAAAGTTACCTGGATTTTTCAGGTAAAACACTTTGAATTTTCTGTAACTGGACGTCACTGGAATTTCTAGAACTATAACTGGAGGTAGACCTGGGCTTCACTCTGTGTGCAACGAACACACGAACAAATCAATCTCCATACTGCCAAAAGCCTTGGATGATAAGCAGGGAGAAACAAAACGAGGATGGAAACGACTATTCTTCCAATCCTCACTCAAAACAACTGAACCATTACTTCACACTGCTACTACACATTTTCTATGAAAAGGGGCAAAAACAGAAAACTTTACAAATTCAACATGAATTTGGACATAACGCTGAACCGCTCTTGATCGCGGCTCCAACGAGAGTGATGAAATTATCTTTTCAAATTGATCGCATAAGTTGGAATAAACAAAGCACTTAGTATAAACAAAACACAAACGGGAATTAAGACGCAATATATAAAACGCAAAAGAGTGCCGAGGAAGTACACATCTGTTAAATAATAAACAACTCTAAAATTGTTTATCTTAACTCGAGCCGACCTAAGAAGGAATTGAAAATACTTTTTGCGTATCTTAACTTGTACGATAAGAAACTGAAATGCATTAAAAATACTCTTCGATTTTTCAAACATATATGAGGGGATTTCAATATATTACATATACGAGGTGATTCCAATATATACCAAAGAATCAATGAAATTGCAAATGCTACAGTCTCTACACTTCGTTCTTTAGGTATTATTTTCTCAAAATAGGCTGCAAATTCTTCTTTACTTTAGGTTGTTTATATGAGTTTTTCAAGGTTTAATCCTGTCCATTCTTTTATGTTAGGTAGCCAGTAAAATTTTTGATCTGCCATGACAGCGTTTGCCTTCTAACTTCGTTTCCGTTAAATCTGGAGAAAGGTATATCTCATATGTCTAAATATGTGTCCGTGGGATGTTTTCTGTTTTTTGGATATATGTGTTCGTTCACGATCGTTATTCATACACCTCATATATATATATATATATATATATATATATATATATATTGCACTTACAAATATTTTCATTTCAGGTAGAGATGGCGGCATAATACCCCCAGAAGTAAATTTAGAATCAGATTATCAAGTCTGCAAACAGGCACCTTGTATAGTTTATACTGGTGGAAATTGTTATATTGACCTAAATTTTACTTCACGTAAGTTTTTCAATATATTTTAATGTTTTCAGTGATGTAAATGTTAAATAGATTTTAATAAAATTAAAAATGTTTATACCAAATACCAAAATTAAAAGATATTACAATATATCACACATAACATTAACAACAATAAACATAATTTGCAGCTGGATATGTACCATCCATAACGCCCAAGTATAAAGCAACAGCAATGGGGGTGACTTTAGATTATCCATGCGAGAAAGACGCTTGCACAGGACTCACCAATACAGTTTGCCCTCTAGTGGAAAACGAACGTGTGTCTTATACATGGGTAATGCCTCTACCAAGTTTTTATCCAGAAGTAAGTATCTTGTTACACCATATCCAAAGCTTCACGGTATACTGCAATATTAATGATGCAGGTATTGCAAATGGAAGGCTTTGAAAATGACAGTTTTCACAATATTACCTTTTTAATTGGTCTGCGTGGCTTGCCTTTATTATAAAAAATGGTTATAATAATAATTTCCTTGGACGGTTTCTTCCAAGAAACTTGGACTGTGGAAATTATCTTGTCGTTGATCACCTGTGGCGGATTATCCAGCCATAATGTTTAACGTTATTAATTATATATGAGGTTGAATGAATTTCTCCTGTTTGTTAGTTCTAGATTGGTTAATGCGAGGAATTGCTATTACAATACCAATTTCTTTCATTGGTTTGTCTCTTACAAGCGGGTTGTCATCCAAACTCATTTAAACTTTTAAATAGACCGCCCAATTATTTGGGGTGGTACCTCTACCTTGTTGCTCTGTTAAAAAAATTTTTGACCTCAAGGTTGGCTGTCTTTTCACGGTTTAGTTCGGTCTGTTTCATTTAACGCCATTTTTCCGGCAGCAGCTGTAAGGCTTTGATCGGTAACTTCATTTAAACTACTTTTTAAAATAATTTTTTTATTAACATCACTTTAATAATGCTACCTAAAGTTAAAATCAAAGCTTAATAATTATCAAATAGTTGGAAGTAAATCTATGATTTTCTTGGTTTTTCACTACTTGAGATTAAATAAAATATTTCATTTACTTTAGACCACATGGTCAGTTGCTGTGCTAATTTTTTATAAGTTGCTATATGTTGTTAGTTAATTGATTGTTTATACAATATCACCGTATAATGTCCATTTACTTGAGTTTTATTCACAACCTTGTTAATATCTTTGACTGCTACATGTCTTTTTAAGGTAACATTTATAACATCGTTTTCATGATTGTGTGGTTCTCATATTGTACTTTTTAGATGAACTGATGATGCTTTCAAAACTCGAAAGCGAAACGTCTTCAAAATAGATAAAGTAGCCTATCAACTTTGTCTTTTATTTCTCCACCTTGAGACCGATATAAGAACCCACCACTCGTCTGAGTGATCCTTATATATATATATATATATATATATATATATATTATATATATATATATATATATATTATGCTTTTGTAAAATAATACTTATTTTTTATTTGTAGTGTCTTGCCGACCTCGAAGTTTCTTTTACCAATGACGACGATAACTCCCTTATTTTCTGCTTTAGCACACAGATTGAAGTAAGAAAACCGGCTAGATAAATTGATAAGATGGACAAAAAATTTATCTTTAAGTTGGAATTAGGTATTATAAGCACCAAGTATTATATAAATATATGTGAAATAAAAACGAGTTTTTCTTATTAGTTTCTATCTTTTTATAATATCTGTCTATATAAAAGCTAGGACAATAGTCTCACTGTTTTATATTAGACTGTTCCGGGCTTCCATATCTGTTTTAATCAGCGGAGGCTCCAAATCTGAGCTGTTCCTATCATTCCGAACGTCTAATGGTTAAGTAACATTCTGTGGTCTCACAGAAAGGCACAAGTGTCTTTAGAGGTAACTCCTTCATTTGGCCGAGTTGCATAAATATCGAACACAGATTTTCTTCTCCTCATTATCGTGGGCTATCCACCAATTCAAGCAGATGTAGATGCTCCGTAAATTTACAGGGGTCGGTAAGCATACTGACCTCCAGAGAATATCTTCTACGGTTGAGAAGAAGAAGTTGGGCTGTGAACTATTAAAGACTTTTGGACTTTTGGATGGCCCCACTATGTGGAGCCTAGACAATCTCATACCTCCACCACTGGCCCAGGAGGCAAATTCTCGTAAAAAAGTTCCTTAAGACTACCTCGGCCAGTACTGAAGGGCAGTCCACTCACAGGTTCGAGGCTCACATGTTGACTGGATGAGCTGCATCTTGCTAGTGCGTCAGCCCGTTCGTTTCCTGTGGAACCTGTGTGTCCCGGTACCCGTATCGAGTTGACCCTATTGGTCATCAGCATATTAACATCAGCCAGTGCTATCTTTTACCTACGAACCAGCTTAGAACTGACTTTAAGTATTTTCAGAGCCCTTAACGCTGCTTGACTGTCAGGGCAGATAGAGATGGTCCTTCGTGAGTAAGACTAATCTATTATCTCCTGAGCCTTCTAAGCACAAATTAAAAGTCTCATTTCCATAACAATGATAGCCCCTTTCTAAACCAAACGTAACAAACCTTTCCTTAAATACATCTCCATTTAAACCATTATTATGTTCACCTCTACATTTTAAAATAAAAATTACATTTTCTACAAAACCTGAAGCTATTTTCTTGTGGCATCTTAAACCAATTACTATTTTAATGGGAGTAAGCTACAGTGGATAAGACAAGATACGTTTTATTGACTTTTCAATTTTTTTGCTAAAACAAAACACTAACGGTTCAAAAAGCTTTCCAAATGTTCAAAAAATTAAATGGTAGAGAAATACAATAAAAATAAACAAAATTCTAGACCAAAAATATTACTTAGTAGTTAATAAACTCTTTAAAATGTCTATGGCCAAAATTGTCCAAGTTACTATCATGCTGATACTGATAATAGAGATGTAGAGATGTGGCAACCTTGGGTGTCTAAGGGTGCCAAGCAAATATGTGAAAACTTCTTATACAAGCTTGCTGGCTACACAAAAACAAAGTATTTGGGCATCACAAACTTAGGATTAAAAGATCAGTTTATATGGGTTTTCCAAAGATTTATTGCCACTAATATCATACGTTCAAAAAATTAATAATAAAGCCGTGTTATTGGTGTCTTTAGCCCATATTGCTAAAGCAGCCGACCCCGAAAGGCGTCATACTCTTGACATGAAGCGTTCCTTCGCATGCCTTTGTTGATCATGATAAATATAAAGGTAAGCGGTAAGGGCAAACATACTTTATCACTGGGATAAAATGAGGTATATTCACTCGAAATGTCCAAAAAGATTATCTAAAACTCATGAAACTGCTAGTACTTAGAAACTGTGTTTCCGAGCAAGAAGACCTCTAAAAACACAACATTTTTTTGCCCAGAATGTCAATATTTTTAATTAAAATTTGTTGTTTTCCTTTATTTAATAAAAAGTTAATAAACCCTTCAAATATTTTCAATATTATGCTTTTAATTTTTTATAGCTACATAGAAATTGAAGGGCCACGGGAAAGAACGATCAGACTCACATTTTGTTCATTTTGTACAAATCGAATTTTAAAGTGTCAAGTCGTTTATTTTGGTTCAGGAAAATTAAATACAAAATATTTAGTTATCAGTTTATTATTGTCTATTCCCTTAGCTAGGGCATATTTTGACAGACTCATTGTCGAGTTAATACTTAAGTAATATGTTTATTTTAAAAATCCCCTTTTGTAATCAGCGTATCGTCTCTCCGGCTAAGGGCTTGTGAAAGCAATTAATTTTAATGACTTTCGTCTGAGAATGTAGGGTATTGAATTTCATATAGTATAAGAATATATTCAATTTGTTTAGAGTTAGTTTTTAGTCGAATTTATACCACCGAACCGAAGGAAACTGAATAAAACTTTTAAAGTCACATTTGTGTATTTTAATACGAAAGTAATTTTTGTAATAGAAATTTAATTTTGTATTCTTTCGAACCAGGAGTCTCTTGCGATAATTAATCGTAGGACATTCCAAACGTAACATTTGGCGACCGTGACAGGACTTATATACGGGTGTGCTTAAAAGTTAGTTATTTTCGTTTATTTTAGTGCAAACTTTTTTCCGCCGAATAATTTTGTTTTTGTCGTGAGGCTCGGCCAAAGTTAACCTTTTTAAGCGAAAAAATGGAATCAGTTAAAAAAACGCAGAACGGTTCTTCGTAGTGAATTTACGAAAGTTGCTACTGTTTTGGACAGTTTGTTAGCTCAACCGGTGGACATTCGACCCTGGCAGAATATTAGCGTACAGTGGGAACTTTTACAAGTAAAGTACAATGAGCTTTGTGAAGTGGAAAGTGCGGTACTTGAAAGTATGTTGGAAGAAGCTTCCGAAGAAGAATTAATCAGTGAGATGGAGACAAAAGATAAATATAGTGCAAGGTACTTTGAACTTAAGTACAAATGTGATGACAGACCAGGTTCAGTAAATTCAGAGTCATCAAGTATAAAAGGTAAGCGCAAATTTAAATTACCTCCAATCGAATTCAAGAAATTTAATGGAGACTTGAAAGATTGGCTTCCTTTTTGGTCACAGTTCAAAGTAGTGCATGACGATCCATCAATTGATTTGACTGATAAGATAGCTTATTTGAGACAAGCCACTGTAGAGTCTAGTAAGGCCAGACGATTAGTGGAGAGTTTTCCTGCAGTAGCCGACAATTACTCAAAAATTATCCAGAGTTTGCAGTCTAGGTTTGGCAGAGAGGATCTCCAGATTGAAGTTTATATTAGAGAGCTCTTAAAGTTAATTTTGAGTCGAGTTTCTAGTAGTTCTTGTAATATTTCTGCTCTTTATGATATGATTGAAAGTCAACTTCGTTCACTTGAGACCTTAGGCATAACTGCTGACAAGTATGCGGCGATATTGTATCCTCTTATCGAGTCATGTTTGCCAGAAGATATGATTCGACTATGGCATAGATCTTCACAGTTTTTAAGGCCTTATGTTTCCGGGTCCATGGAAAATATCGCAGAAACGGCAGAGGTTACAACTTTAGAAACAAGATTGGATGGGCTAATGAGCTTTTTACAAAGTGAAGTTCAAAATGAACAAAAAATTGATTTAGCAACGGAAGGTTTTGGTTTACCGACTGAAAATAAATATAAATTTAATAACCTCGTTGCCAAGAAAACTGTAAAATTACATAAGCAAGGAACTGATCAGCCCTTAGCGACCGCTGCTGGGTTAGTAAACTATGAGGTTTACAGGTGTGTATTTTGTGAAGCGCAGCATGACAGTACAAATTGTTTTAAAGCACAAAAATTTACTATGGAGCAGAAACGTCGAACATTGTCAGAAAAGAAAGCATGTTTTCGATGTCTGAAAGTAGGACATTCTTCTAAAAAGTGTAGAGGACGTTTGAATTGTATATTATGTTGTAAATCACATGCTGTTTTGATGTGCCCTAATTTGCCTGTTAATAAAATTGATACATCGACCTCAAGTACTACCCGTTCGGAAGAAAATATAACTGAGGATCAGACGCTTGCTAATTTGAATAATACACAGGTTTTTTTACAAACTCTGCGAATAAACATAAGAAGTGCACATGGTACTAAACAAGTAAGGGCACTTATTGACACTGGATCGCAAAGGACATATATTTTACAAAGTACCGCGCAAGAAATGGGTTTTTCTGCTAAAGGAACGGAAAAGATTGTACACGCATTATTTGGCGGTAGAAGCACTTCTGAACAACGACATAAATTGTACGAGGTAACTGCGTGTGAAGGAACCTACGCTTATTCATTTGATGCATTAGATCAACCAAAAATTTGTGCCGATGTCTCTTCTATTTATGACGGCCCTTGGATTGAGGAACTCAGGGACATGAATATTTCACTCAGCGATGTCGGAAAGACAACACCGATTGAGATTTTGTTAGGAGCTGATATTGTAGGCAAATTGTATACAGGGAGAAAATATCAGTTACAGTGTGGTCTTGTAGCAGTTGAAACTTTGTTAGGTTGGACTCTTATGGGTAAGGTGCCGGCAGTTGCTTCTAATTCTAGTACAAGTATGATTACATTTTCGTTGTTTGTTAATAATTCTTCTGTAGCGAAACTCTGGGAGCTTGATGTTATTGGGATAACCGACCCTGTAGAAAAAATGACACGAGAGGTGGCAGCCAAAGAGGCTAAGAATTTTTTCTATGAGACTGTACGATGTGACAGCGAAGGCAGGTATGAAGTTATGTTACCTTGGTTGAACGAGCATCCTTTAATTTCAGATAATTTAGTTGTTGCTAGGAGAAGGTTAGATAATACTTTAAATAAGTTGAAAAGGTCTAATTTGTTTGAAATGTATAACTTTATATTCAATGAGTGGTTGAGCGAGGGTGTGATTGAAATAGTGAATAATCCAGAAGAGAATAATTGTGTGCATTATTTACCTCACAGGCCCGTTATTAAAAATAATAGTGAAACCACAAAAATTAGGCCAGTCTTTGACGCATCATCTCATGAACAAGGTTGTCCTTCTTTAAATCAGTGTTTGGAGGTAGGGCCTAATCTTATTGAACTTATTCCTTCTGTTCTATTACGATTCAGACAA